CAGCACAGAAAACAAATGCCATAAATGTCATCAATTAGGCTGGAATAATTTGTTTCTAGTGGCTTCTATTGTAAGTGCTTTACATTTCAGCATGACATCCTGTATGTGTCCTACACTGAGGACACTTGAAGCTGGTCATTTTCTTAGAATGGAGCTAAAGATAAAAACAAAACAAAACCAAACTTTCATAAGAAATCTTTATTCTGCAGTAAGGGACATTAAAAACCTAATAATGTTATCATTAAAATTATTAAAATGTGAAGTAAATGGTCTGTATTTGTATAGCGCTTTACTAGTCCCTAAGGACCCCAAAGCGCTTCACACATCCAGTCATCCACCCATTCACACACTGGTGATGGCAGCTACATTGTAGCCACAGCCACCCTGGGGCGCACTGACAGAGAAGTAATCAGAATTTTTGCACAAAATCAAAATAATCTGTTTATGCAATACCAGGTGCTGTAACCTTTTTCACTCTGTTATGCTCAGTCGCTGCATCTTCATGTAAGACACGTTTGTTTGTGTGATCTTTGCCATGTCTCCAAGAAGGCTGGATACTCTGAACCAGTACTCGGCGCATAAGCGCAGACAACAGTCAGGACCAGTTCCCCGACCCGAAGATTCAGGGAACAAACCCTCTTATCCACTGGGAGAAACCCCAACGTACAGGCAGCAAGCCGAAGTGATAATAGAATACTCAGGCTCCTTTCCTATGAGAGAGGTGACATTCCATGTCCTAACTGCCAGTCTTGGTAGCCGGGGCTCGGTCCACCAGGGCCTCTGCTCCAGAGTGGGTAGCAGCTACTGCATTTGTTACTTCTGTTTGGCTAACTGCAAATCTTATGCTCCTGAGAGGTATCTCCCAGTGCCCTCTACTGGTGAGCAAAGTGCTAATAGCACTCAGCCCTTTGAAAATAAAATTAAAATAAATTTATTTATTTTTTGTTTGTATTTCAAAAGCATTTTTATTTATTTAACTTCAGGTCTGCCAATAAGTGACAATATAGTGAAACAATAATCAGTGTGTATATGTAACTTTTTAATTCATTAACTCAAATCAAACCCCACAAATTATTCATGCACCACAGTCACAGGACCCTTCTCAGATACAAATTAGCTAGTTCAGTGAATGGGAAAAAACTTCCCTTTGGTTTTTCAAGCAATCTGCAATGTAAAAACAAAACAAGAAAGTGTGCACGGTATTTTCAAACAAGGAATTACAAAATTTTGCAAAATGAAGAAACAAATTGAAGGCTTGCAGTCAACTATAATAACCAGCCTGTGAAAGACTGACTGATGTAATTACTTGACCTGCTCAAATATAATTACATAAAATCAAACTTAGAGACAGCATAATTTGTCAGGTGCTTCCTCTCTTAAGAAGACATTG